CGACACGGGCAGTACATCACTCCCCTACCTAGCCCTCCCCACAGCCCTTGCCGTCCTACTACGTAACGTCGGTTGCAGCACAGTTCCACCCTTCTGCCACCCCTCACGAACCGTTCGCAAAACCCCTTGCAACTTTCCCGCCCCTACCTACCTACCTACCTACCTACCACCCTCTCACTCTCGTTCTCGCACTCTCGCGGCGCCGTGACAAACGCATCGCCGATACCATCATTTATTTCGCAAATGTGCTGCAAAACTGCCGCTATTCATTTTCGGTCCAGTCGATTCAGTTTTCCGCTCGGAGAGTCCGATGCGGTGCCGCGCGTACCGCCTCTCCCTGCCTCCTACCAACCCCCTCGATCGGTCTCTCGACGGTTTTATCGTTGAGCGATTTCTCCGCGGTGCATTTTGAACGTTGGATATCGCTTATCGCGTTACAAATCGAGGATCTTGCCCGATAGATAAGAACTTTAAGAGTCGGACCAACGTTAGATGAGATCTAACGTTTTTTCCTTTTTTCCTTTTTCCTTCCTTTTACAAACAATCCGACGCGTACAATGATTAAACTTCACATTCTCATTCGTAGTTTATTATTATATATCCACGTGTATTCACTTATATGTAATCACTTTATATATATATATATATATATATATATATATGTGTGTGTGTGTGTGTGTGTGTGTATGTATGTATAAAGTGATTAAAAAAGAGAATGAAGAAAAAGTCATAGTGATTATAATTACTTACAAATAATTTAATCGTACTTGAAACGCGTTAAGAATTTCGCGATACGCGAATATCAAGTAAAGTAGCGCGCATGAAAGAGAAGAGAAGAAAAGGGAAGAGATGAGAAGGGAAGAGAAGAGAACGAAAGCGTATTAAATTCGAGAGCGAGCCGCTTGTTAGCAGAGGTTTAAATATGCAAGTGGTTGACTTAATTGCGAGAGTAGGTGCTATGCTACGATCGGGCTTCTCTTCGTTCTCATGAAAGAAATCGACCGAGCTCTCGGTTTTGTTTAGACACCGTTAAACGAGCCACGAAAAGGCTAAGAGACCTCCCAAGAATTTTATACGCGAGATATAATCGTCGGAAAATAATGTAAATTTCTAAAAAGGTTTCAACGTGTTTCTTATGATTTTTTAGAAAAAAAGAAAAAAAAAATGGAAAAAAGAAAAATTCTTATCCATTAGAGTTACGTGCTTTTTGAATTTCGATCAAACGATATCGAATTACGAATTTATTCAACGATCGTTCGAAAATGAAAGTCCAGTGTCTCGTGAATCGAAGGAACTCGAAAAGGGAACTCCTCCTGCCATTACTCAAAGATGGCATCGGAGTCCGGTGGTCTAATCTCGGCACATGAGACCTTAATGGGATTTTAAGGCGACGTGGCCACCTGCGTTCGTCGCAACCTTCAGCCTCGTTTGTCTTTCCTCTCGAACGTTTTCGCTATTTTTCTTATTGCCAAAGAAAGACATCGCAAATCGTGTATATCTAATCAATAGACCGATATTTATCAATTCGTTTATACAAGAGATGAATATTATAATCAATGACTATAATAATTATATTCGTGTTACAGGGTTGGCGTCGCAAAGGCGCATTTCGAGAAACAACCACCGAGCAATCTGAGAAAGAGTAATTTCTTTCATTTCGTCATAGCACTTTACGATCGACACGATCAGCCGATCGAGATCGAAAGAACGTCATTCATGGGATTCGTCGAGAAAGATCAGGTAAATTAATAGATATTTCCGATTAATTTTAAACATAACCACATTGACAACGTGTAAAGTTTCTCTTTTTCTCACGATCAGAATTAAAAAAAAAAAAAAAAAAAAAAAAAAAAAGAAGAAAAAAAGAAAAACTAACGAACTTGTTCTTTATCAATAATACTAATTACCATTTACTCTTTCATAAAGTTGAATTGATTTTTCGTAATGTAAGCAACGTAATGCGTATGCTTTATAAGATATTACAAAGGACAAAAGAAATAGTGAGAAGGGAGAAAAGAAAGTAGTAAAGTTCGCGAACGAGAAAGTAGAGAATTCGTATGTCGATCGCCGGTGAGAAGGGGAGGGGAGGGGAGGGGAGGGGGGTGGTGGTGGTTTTCCCAAAGGACAAGCGGAAAAAGGAGACGAGGCCCTTTATGACATCGGGGAATATCGTGCGAGCGCACGCTTATCTCGATAATTGCCGTTTCCATTGGACGGGGGTATAAGGGGAAAGGGTGACGTCAAATATTAAACGGATCCTCATGTGTGTATACATATCGATAGTCCGTACGGCGGAAGCACACCTACCAGCTTTTCCAGCAATTAGTCGGACAGGCGAAAATCCATTGGCCGTTTGAGAAATGGCTGTGGAAGAACACGCTTCTCTACGCGTTCCTGTTCCTGGTCACGCGAAAGAGCACCGAACGACCGACGGAATAATAAAGAGTCGACGACGCCACCTACCCTTCCTCTGCCCTCCTCCCCTTTCCTCCCCACTCCCCCCGTCCACTACCTTTTTTTTTTCTCCCTACGTATACCTTCCTTCCTTCGATCAAAGATTAGAAAAAGCGTCGCGCGAGACCGATAGGGCTCGGAGGATTATATGCGTTCGTTATTAAGCTTCGCTCGTGCATTAAATGTCCGCAATCTACAAATTACTTTGGAGCTTCTCGCCTGTTTCTATCTTCTTCTTCTTCTTCTTCTTCTTCTTCTTCTTCTTCTTCCTCCTCTTCTTTTTTCCTCTCTATCTCTCTTCATCTCTCTCTCTCTTTCTCTCTCATTTGTTCGTTTTCAAGTGTTATCAAATTCGTCATGACTAATCGTAGAAGGAAATTCATCCTTTTAATATATTATACGTTTATATTTATGTTCGTTCAGATATAAAGTCGAACGAAATACTTGATAGTAATTTTGTTAATGGCAAAAGAACCGAGCTCGGTTTTCACGTTGCAAACGATCGTTCCTACTTCATTTCTTCGTAATAAATAGTTACTAGAAAACGTTGCTCGTTACTACTAGCCACGAGCACTCAGATTTAATGGTCTCCTCGCGAATCGCTTCTTTCCATTCTTTCCAACCCAGACATCCGGTCGACTCCGAGTATATATAAATAATGGCTATTTGATTGAAGACTGGTTTTCTTCTCGCGACTTATCGCCGAGATCTCGCGTTCCCGAAAGAATGCTCTCGTACACGATACGAACGATTGTCAAGCGCGGTCATCATTACAGCTCCACTTTCTGTTGGTCAATTAGTATAGCTGTTTAAGGAAAACTCAATCGATAGCGGCGTCGATTCCGTTGCGTAAGAGAAATCGTTACGCCGGAATATAACGGGCGGACAAACGACTTTTCGGATTTGCCAGTGAGTCTCGTTGAGCTTTTCCTCTCTTTTCGTCTGGGTAAAAATGGAGAAGACACGGTCTATGTACGCGGTTACCTACGTGACCATCGAACGAGAGAAAAAGAGAGAAATATATATATATATATATATATATATATATTTATATATATATATACGTATGGATGTCGATACGTTTACGAGAACTCTCGTGTTTTTCTCCCTTTTCCAGTTTTTTTCTCTTCTCTTGCACGATCGCCACGCCTGTCACGTTTGTGTAAGCTATCGGCGAATGTTGATTCTCGGATATGTTTATCCGTCATTTATCATAGACACGGTAGGTGGCTCGAAAGAACGGGCATCGTTAACATTTTTACGAATAAACGTCAAGAGCTTGGGATACACGTGTACGTTTAAAATGATGTGTCGCAAGCGACGACGAGAAAGATATCAATCGTATATACGGTATCTAAAAGGGTATAGAGAAAAGGAAAGAGAAAAAGAAAAAGAAAAAAAAAAGAGAAAGAGAGAGAGAGAGAGAGAGAGAGAGAGAGAAAGAGAGAGAGAAAGAAAAATGAAAAGAAGAAAAAGGACAAATATTCGCATTCGTTCCCGCATTTGACGTGTTAATCTCTCTTGCTAACTTGTTTTCAAATGTTCTCCATCGTTACCTACCAATGTCTCCTTTTATCGATTTTCAAATTGTGTTTTGTTTTATTCGTAAAAAGAAAGACAAAAGAGAAGAATGAGAAGAAAGATGAGGAGGGGGGGGGGGGGAGGGAAAAAGAAAGAAAAAAAAAATTTCGAAGAAAAATCGAAGAAAGATCGAAGTAATCAAGCATCGATATAAATTGTCTATACGTAATACCAAAGCTTGACCTCCGAAATTCTCACTTTGCCCTCCAGGTATATCGTCGAAACTCAGTGTCTTCTTCTCTTTCCTCTAAACTATACCTATTCTCTCTATCTCTATATCTCTTTACCTCTCTCTCTCTCTCTCTCTCTCTCTTTCTCTTTCTCTTTCTCTCTTTCTCTTCGTCTGCTTCTACGCCTCAGGGTAACGAGGTGCACCCCCTAATAAATCTATCCGCCATAAATCGTCGACTAATTCGACAGGACGGCGCGTGGAGAGTCGGCTTCGTCCGTATGGAAGATCGTTGATTTAAGAACATCGAAAATTTTTCGTCTCGTCGACCACGTCTTCGCGATTGTTCCCTCTGATCGATGAATCTTCGAAACTTCTCTTACGAATCTCTTCTCTCACATTTCGCGCTTAACTTTTTCTTTTATCTGAATACGTAACACTCGTGGGTTACCGTCTCTCTCTCTCTCTCTCTCTCTCTCTCTCTCTCTCTTCTCTCATATACATAAACACATATACACACACACACACACACGTGTATAATTCACGCGGCATGAACGCTCGTATCGCGTGGCCTCTCTATTAATTAGGGTCGTGAACCGTGACCATACATCAACCCCTCGTGGCCCGGTACACCTTGTCCTCCCTGCTACCACCCTGTGTATCCTCCCCTCCGATGATAGAAACATTTACATATTTTCCAATGCTCGCGTTCAAATTTTTCATTAAACTCACGTTAGAAAAATCGTAACGTTAAATCGAGTTTGTTAATTAATACTCACGAAGGTGTATTGTTTTATTTTATTTTATTATTTTTTTTTATTTTTATTAAAGTCTCATTGAAATCGTTCGATTTCATGTTAGTTAACAAGCAATTGATTTAATTTCGTTCAGAATTCTAAAGTGATCTTACGATTAGAAGAGATCCGAAGAACGATCCTGGTGAAACGCGAGGATAACGGTGCGTTTCTCGTACACGTGCCGATTCCCGGAAACGGGCGGCCTAGGTAAATACAGTGGTTCTCGCGTCTCATTCCACCTCCGGTCAGCTTTTTCTTCGTGTTTAATTAAAAAGTAGTCGTCGAGGTATATTAGAGAGAGAGTCGATCGGATAAACCGTGCGTATATACCTGATTAACGTCGCTCGTTAAATGGCCAGCGAATTTCGAGATTAATGGTCACGACGTTGATCTGCGACGTGAAATGAACGTTAATACGTGCTCGATGTTTACAAGACAACAACAACGACAATAATAACAATAACAACAACAACAACAATAACAACAATAACAACAACAATAAAAGAAAAAGAAAAGAGAAAGATTATATAATTAGAATAATTATCTGTCGAGTCTTCAATTTGTTTCGAAATTCTTTCTACCTTTTTCTCGATCAGATCGAAAATTCTCGATTCCAATCATCGAATTAATTCGTCTACCTAGTATCGATTTTTATTTAACCGTGAAACAAATGTAAATGCATCATCGATATTTTTCGTGATAGAGAACGACGACGACAACGATGACGACGACGACGACGACGACGACGACGACGACGACGACGACGACGACGACGACTGATCGTCATTAATAAAATGGAGCTTTTAGGAGCACGATACTAACATCGAAGGTCGTCGTAATTACGTTAATTCGACGTAAAATCGATCTCAACACGGGTGGTGGTTGTTCTAGCTCTCGGCGTTTGTGTCCACGAGAAGTTGTGGTCGTTCCTCAAAAAGTCATGCACGTGCGCGTAGGCAAGAAGAAAGAGAGAGAGAGAGAGAGAGAGAGAGAGAGAGAGAGAGAGAGAGAGAGTGGGTGGATAGTAATAGTAGTAGTATAAGTAGTAATAGTGGTAGTTGTTGTTGTTGAAAATGCATTACCGCGCGCTCTCGTGGCATATGGCAGGGTGCACGCATGACTCGTCAACGAGGCAGCACGATAATTATGCATCGCACGCCACGCGATACGTAATGGCACGGCTCTTACCGGCGCATCAAGAAATTAATAATTAGCGTGAGGTGGTAGACGGCTAGCCGTCTATCGTCACGGCGTTCCTCGTGATAGTAACGTTACGTCACAGTGCACTTAATTAAAAAGAGACACGAGTGAGAAGGGTCCTTCTCGAATCGAAGGATCCACCCATTTGCCATCTTATCTTTTCAACTGTCTTCTTTCTAAATCTTTATCTCCCGAGCGCATACGTAATGTAATCACATTACCGTATATACTTTCATGACGTTGAACGCATATTTATTGTATCTACTGATACGTATTATTTCTGTTTCAGGAATCCGAGGGACAAAAGACGAACAATGGTATACAATACAGTTTGCATCTGCTTTATTCGAACGGTGAGTTTCTCCTTTCTGTTTCATCATCGTCAATTCTTCTTTCGTGAGATTCGAAATCGATTATAAATCTAATTTAATGGAACATAACCCATAGGCCTAATAAAATAACGATATGAGATAAAATCAACGGGACAATATCATTGTTCTCGTAAGATATAAATAGAAGAACGTAAAAAGTCAGTGATCTCGTGAAATGTCTCGAATCGATCGGCAAACCATCCGCAAGCGTTCTTGCTGAGTGACGAAAAGGAAAAGGGTGTTGAAGGAAGTAGGAGTAGTAGTAGTAGTAGTAGGAGGAGGAGGAGGAGGAGGATGAAGAGGAGGATAAGGAGGAGGAGGATAAGGAGGAGGAGGAGAAAGAGAAGGGGAAGGGTGGTTTGGCTTGGTAGGAAACGAGTACGTAATAGCCCCATTCGAAGCGACGATGACGGGCCATCAACATTCCATGCGGACACCCGGTCTCTTAGGGCCGCTAAAAAGCTCAGGAACTTTGGTGGCTGCGGCCCGCAACAGAGACATATTTTACGTCACTGCCTCGGCCACCAGGGCAAAAAGGTTTCAGCTTCCGTTCTGAAGAAGCTGGATGCGTGTGTACAGCGAAGTGGTTCTGCGCGAAGCGTGTAGGGGCCGAAGGGACGACGAAGGGAAGGAAGAGAGACAGGTCGAAGGGAGTGACCGATGGAAAGAAAGAGAGCGGATGAAGAAGAAGAGAGCCGAACGATTTGGAGGTGGTCCTGCTGGAGAGCATCCGGACAAACAGTAAGACTGGCTAGTAGCAGACCCTTAAAAACGAGCTCGTATTATGAACATATTAAAAAGGGGTCTGTAAGGCGCTATCCACGGGACTCCGTCGAGAGAGTTTTTCACTCCATATACGCCATCTCAGATCTGCTCCAGCAGCCTCCAACAGTAGATATCCGTTGGGCAACCTCACCGGAGCCCACTTTATCCTTCCTTTCGTTTCTTTCTTTCTGGTTTCTTCTTCTTCTTTCTCTTGCTCTGTTTCTCTCTCTCTCTCTTTCTTTATCTCTCTCTCTCTCTTTCTTTATCTCTCTCTCTCTCTCTCTCTCTCTCTTTCTTTATCTCTCTCTCTCTCTCTCTCTCTCTTTCTTTTCTTCTTGCTCATCGGGCGTTCTTTCTTTTCTCCTCGTCCGTCTTTTCCTTGCCTCCATACCACGGTTCTTCTTGTCCCTCGACTTCGGGATCCGATCAATCAATGCGAGATTTTTGCGTTGGCAGGCCTGACTGAGGGGCCGCCCTGCCATCTATGGGCACTAAAACGTGTTGCCAACATCGCGAACAAGAAACAACTAACTGTTGCAAAAGTAAGGAATATCAACGAATCTCGCCCCTTAAAGATCTCGCGATCCGTTCTCCACCTCCACCTTCTTTCTTTTTACTACTTCCTTTTTTCTTTCCCTTTCTCTCTCTCTCTCTCTCTCTCTCTCTCTTTTTCATCAAATATGACGGTCTCTTTCTGTGAGATTTTGAAAAAGATCGCGAACGGAGTCGGCAATCAGAGAGAACTGTGTTATTGAACTGGATTGGCAACTTTCGTATTGTCATTGGAAAGTAATTGGAAAAGAATGCTGAAGAAAAATGTCGATTGTGAAAATTTTATATCTTTAGACAAATCAATGGTGAACGATACCTTTTATAATCGAATCTTGTTGATATGAACCCATGCATGTGATTTATAGGACAAGCCATACGTATACACGTATGAGAGAGAGAAAGAGAGAGAGAGAGAGAGAGAGATCGGGCCCGTTTGTAATCCAACATTCGGCTTTATAAAAGTTTCATGCACGAAATGCGCTCGGCGTACTCGCATGTTTCTCTTCTCCTCTCTTTGTAAGAGTAGAGGAAGAAGGACGAAGAGGAGGAGGAGGAGGAGGAGGAGGAGGAGGAAGAGGGGGAGGACAAATTGGCTTGGATCTTCGCGACTGCCGACGATGAACGTTCGTCAGAAGTCACCAGAAGGCACCAGAAGGTGTCTGCGTGTCATCACCAATTTTCTCTGTCTCTCTTTCTATATCGCCCGGTCGGTCACTCTTCTCATATACCAATAAATCTATAATTAAATATTAAATAAGGAGCGCAGGCTGCCGTCACTCGCTGACGGCAGAGCCTCTCCATATCGGGTCCTTGCCCTTTTTGTCATCTCGATTCCCTCCTTCTTTCCACTCTCCTACCATGCACCGTTCTTCTTCGTTCTGTTCGATTTAAGAGCGGGAGAGAAAGAAAGAAAGAAAGAGAGAGAGAGAGAGAGAAAGAGAGAGAGAGGGAGAGAGAGAGAGAGAGAAATAAAAACGGAAAGAGAGAAACAAGGATAGCTTTCGTCGGCGAGACACGGAGGAACGATCGGAACGAGATATCCAGAATGAGAGAGAGAGAGAGAGAGAGAGAGAGAGAGAGAGAGAGAGAGAGAGAGGAGAGGAAAGAGAAAAGAAGACGGCTTGTCTCGTTCTCCTCTGAACGTACTAAGGAATATGAACTCGAGTAATAAGACAACGAAGGACGATTAAGGATAGAGGATCGATCGGTAGGATATAGAATCGCACGAATCGTAGGACTTTTTTTTTTTTCTTTTTTTTTTTATATTCCTTCCAGGAGAGACAGAAAAGAAAAGAAAAAAAAAAAGAAAAAAGGAAATAGTTTCTTTTTCGATTCTTACCTCCCTCGAACTTGGTCGCCTAGTTATGCTAATGCATCCTGACGAAGACTTATCTGCCTCTGAGACAGCACAGCGGGATACGACACTCGATTCCTCTTCTTATCCAACTTCTTCGTCATGTTACTTCGCTTTCAATGTTAGACTGTAACGCTCAACGAACACGATCGCGATTTGCTCTACGGAATGCTCGCAATGCCGAGCGTTTACTATCAAAGAGAACTCGTTAATTATAATTCAATGATATATTTATGTCGTTCGATGGTTTTGCACTGTGAATCAAACATTCGTAGAATTTCGTACAATCTTTTGATCCAATTCGTTCTCCATTTCGGATCAAAATACGTAGGAATTTAAAAAAAAAAAAAAAAAAAAAGAAAAAAAAATAGTACGTCAAAAGTGTCCGTTTCGTTTTATCAGAAGGAAAAAAAGAAAAAAATAAGAAATAAATAAATAAATAAATAAATAAAGAAGAAGCAAATCGTGAGTACGTATAAGAAATCAAAATGAGATGACCAAGTTAATTATGTAATATAAAAAATAATTTTCAAGGGCGATTAAAATGAGACACTTATTACGGGACGTGTAACACCAAACGATTACACGATCTAAGAGATTATCCCTCTTAGAGAACTTTTTCTTCTTATACATTATCATGAATTATGAACGATAGCAAGTGCAAACGATCGATCGGTTTTAGTTTCCTTTCGGCATTGGTAAATCCTTAGACGAGGGCGTAGGTACGTATCTACGCGCGTAAACCGGAGTATAGATACGAAGGTAACTTCCGGTAAAGCCGCGACGCTTTCTCGAGGTAATTTGTGAGCTAGTTTCGAGCGGAGTATCGTAATCCGTAGTAACGTTATGCGGCGCGGACTCTCTAGTCCGTATCTCCCGGCGGGTCCTAGGAGTCTTATGTTGGGATTACTCGGCTTACCGGACACGCGAGGCCGGAAGCCACGCAGGGTGTCTGTCCGAAATACTCCCTGGGATTATTCCCTTCGTAGAGAAGGAGAAGGAGAAGAAGAAGAAGGAGAGAGAGAGAGAGAGAGAGAGAGAGAGAAAGAGAGAAAGAGAGAAAGAGAGAGGAAGAGTTTCTTGAAGTCTCAAGAAAGGCCTTCGACTCGATATGTAATGTTTTTAACGATTACGAACTTCTTCGAGTATCTTCAACTTCGAGAAAAAAAAAGAGATGAAAAAGAAAAGAAAAAAAAAGACAGAGAGAGAGAGAGAGAAAGAGAGAGAAAAGGAAAAAGATCGATATATAGAGGAAAAAATTTCTCTCATCGATTTAAAATGACCAACGTCGGTAAACGTCCTAGTCGTACGAGAATCCCGCTAGCCGTGGCATCGTTTTGCCGTTTCAGGTACATCTTGATGGCATCGATACATCTAGTAAAACATTATATACTTTCTGTGCTGCCCGTTGTCATCTTCGAGCGTGACATAATAACGAGAATCGATTTTAACCTTCTCGATAATAATTATATCGTGGAATGACTGATAGAATATTGGAAGAAATATGAACGGAGAATTATACGGAGGGGGAAAAGATAAGAGAGAAAAAGAGAGGGAGAGAAAAAGCGAGAGAAAGAGAGAGAATAAATAAGAAATCGTATTTAAAAGATGGATGTTCGAAAAAAGAAAAATTGTATTCGATAGTGTAACGATTTAACAAGGATTTTACATAAGGATTAAGCAAGAATAAAAGAAGAGTAGTCGAACGAAGCGGCCTTTTCTCTCGTTAGAGAGAAAGGGGAATACAACGAAATTCTGAGAAGTTCGACCGCAAAGGGAAACGCAACTTTAAACGAATTAACGCTTTACACGTGCACGAATTTTTCCCTCCTTTGCTATGGCCGCATGCATGACGATCGGAGTCCTTTTCTCTGTCCTTCGTCTTCTACGCATCGCCGTTGAGTTCGTACTTTTGAAGGCTCGAAGTCGCGGGGCAGGGTCGCGTGCAAAAAAGTACAGGGAGATTGTGCATACTGCGTGGTCCCATGGGGCGGCGACCGATTCCTCCTCCGTTCTCGTCGTCGTCGTCGTCGTCGTCGTCGTCCTCCTCCCCCTCCTCCTTCTCCTCTTCCTCCTCTTTCTACCTCCTTCTCCTCCTCCTCCTCTTTCTTCTTTTCCTTCTTCTCCTCCCCATCTTCTCCTCCTCCTCCTCCTCCTCCTCCTCCTCCTCTTCTTCTTCTTCTTCTTTTTCTTCTTCTTCTTCTTCTTCTTCCTCCTCCTCCTCCTCCTCGTCGTCGTTGTCGTCGTCGGCCTTAAATGCTCCTTAATATGCACTTTTTTCCCGGCACGCGCGGAAGGCCCTTTCGGCGGCGCCAAACTTGTCAGAATTTGAACACGTTTCCGTATTCGTCGCATTCGCCGCGTCGCATTCGACGCAAATTCCTGCACGCGGCCGATCTTAAGGTAATGGGGCCCTTCTTGCACATTCTCCAACTACGAAAAAAGGTTGACTTGCAAACCCGCGCTGGAATAAGCAATCGAGATACCCGAGCCTTTCGTTATTCATATACCCCGAACCCGACGACGATCTTGAAATTCTTCAATACGCAGAAAATAGAACTTATATATCTCTATATCTTTTGTTTGTTCTTTTTTTGTATTGTTTCAGGAGTGAGGCAGGTGCAAAACATCTTCGTCAGGCTTATCGACTCTGCGACGAAACAGGTGAGCTTACGTGCATATATACATGAAAATTCTTATCACAAAAGTATTTTAACAATTTTTATTATACATAATGTCACGTATATCGATTGATTAACATTAATCTATATATATATATATATATATATATATATATATATATATATATATATATTTGCGAAATATAATTTTACTTTCAAAACAATGAATTTGATCTGAAACCTTTGAAATGATTCCCTTAAATCACGTCTAAAGTAAATTCCTTTGTAAAGCGTTGTCATAACTAAATATTTATTCATATATAAATATTGATAGTACGAGATTTGTAAGCGCGTAATAGGTAAAGGACGAAGAATGTTTATATTTATATATATACGTACAAAGTCATTACGTTCATATAAATATCGAACGTAAACGTATCGTCGTAACAAGTCTCGGAACGAATAAGAACGAAGAAAATCGTGAAAAAAGAAAGAGAGAGGGGGAAGAGTAGGTACAAAGCAAAAGGATAGTTGAGTTTGTTCGAGGACGTTTCAAGAGCTCGTCGCGTTTCGTTAGTCAAACGCGCCGGCGTGCGGTGCTCGAAGGGCGAGAAAACTTTCGGTTAGAAATCGTCGGGTGCCGTTATCATCTCAGCTACAAGCACTTAATTTTCCGGGGGGTTGCCTTCGCCACCCTTCAAGAAAGGAGGTAGGTACCCAGGCAGCAGCCAACAGCCACTGTCCCATCCCGTTATCTGCGCCACGTGGCCGAACCCTGCGCGCACGAGCCACGAACCACGTGTTGTGAGTAAGAGAAAGAGAGAGAAAATGTGTGTGTGTGTGTATGTGTGTGTGTGTGTATAAGAGAGAGAGAGAGAGAGAGAGAGAGAAAGATCGTTCTCCACTCTACTCTATTCTACTGTACGCAGGGCCGTACCTAGAATCCCTACATCGTAGATAGCATCAGAGGCATCACGAGCGAACGCAAATACGCGTACGGATTTTCTATCGGAGGCGAGAAGGGTTCCTTTGTCCTCTTTTTCTTTCTCTTCGACCCTAAGCTTCGTTCCTAGATTAGAATTTGATACTTTGTGTATGTATATTCTCAACGTAGTTGTTCTGTAATATGACGGATAACAACGATGAATTGTTCCTCTATTTACTAGTTTCCACGTTATATTTTGTTTTCTATCTCAGATTGAGATAGAAAAAGGAGTGAGAGAGAGAGAGAGAGAGAGAGAGAGAAGATTTTTGAGCTTGCGAATAATTTTATTTCGTGCGGTGTGATACTGCCTAAGTGCCCACAGACGAGAGTTCATCGTTTTAGTAGATTAAATCATTTCGGGGTCGGTCGGTTACGAAGGTAAGAAGAGCAAGAAGGAGTCAGCAGAGGACGAAAGAGGAGTAATAGAAGGAGGAGGAGGAGGAGAAGAAGGAGGAGGAAGAGAAGAATGGGGTCGGGGGAACCATAGCCGATGTTAGTTTTAGCTGATTAAATTACTAAGCCACGGTGGCCTTGCGCCGGCAGAGACCGAGTCCTCGATTCGCGATCCATTCCTTTTATTAATCGGATCCGAGCGGTCCCGGACTTGGTATCAGCCATAGAAAACGAGAAAACGGAAGAGAGAAATAGAGATAGAAAGAGAGAGAAAGAGAGAGATAGAGAGAGAGAGAGAAAGAGAGAGAGAGAGAGAGAGAGAGAGAGATGAAGAAAGAAAGAATAAAATATAGAGATAGTTAGGTACATATCGACACGGTCGATTCGTTCTCGAAGGACAGACATCGCGCTAATTATTAAATAGATTACTTTTACCGTAGAAAAGAAGTTTAAATAATAAGATAGATAAATTATTCGTGGGACTCTTTTCGGTTCTACGGTGCGATCGAATTATCGATATTTCGAGAAAGAAAGAAGATCGTTTGAGATGGAAGAGGCCGGTCCAATCTTGAAGAAGAGAAGGAGAAGAAGAAGAAGAAGAAGAAGAAGAAATAGGGGAGGAGGAGGGGGCCGAGGGAGGGAAGAGAAACATGCTCGTTGAAGAAAAAGAAATCAAGAAAGAAAAAGAGTAGGAAAGGTAGAAATGGTAGAAATCGAAAACGAGAAAGGTGCAATTTATACATCAAAGCCTCGATTGAAACGCGCGTCTACGGTCGTTGCGTCAAAGCAAGAGGAAGACATGTATGCGCGAAGATCGATACGTAAACGTGTAAGTGAAAGAGTAGATGGATGTATACCCGTGGCATTTGTCGAGGGTCCATGGCGCAACAACCCGCTCGAAGTGTTTGGCAAATTCAGATCAACTGTATATTTTTATTATTCCACGCTTTGCTATCTCACTACTCGCATGGTTTCTCTCTGTTTCTTCCTTTTATCATCCTTTTTCTTTTCTCCCTTTTTTTTTATCCCTACCCCCTTCCCTCCCCCCCACCCACCCCACCCCATCCCTCCCTTCCTCCCGTCCACTTCTTTTTCGTTTATCGAGCATTACAATGGTAAAATCTACACGCTCTACTTGACTTAATAACGGATTAAAAAACAACATTGAGACGAGATAAATCTCGTGGATCATCAAGTTTTCAAAATGTTTGTTAATGGTACTCAAATAGAAAGTCGTAAAATAGAAACGAACGCCTGTCAATGATTGTGCGACAAACGTTATTTTGTTTGTTAATCGTTCGGGTTATTTTTTTTTTTTTTTTGTATTTCTCAAAAAAAGAAAAAAGAAAGAAAAAAAAAAAAGAAAAAAAGAAGAAAAAAGAAAGAAAAGAGGAAAAAGAACGTTAACCCATTCGACTTGAGAAAATTTGCGTCTCGCAAATCACGTTTAAAAGGAACTAAAGAGAAAGAGAGAGAGAGGGAGAGAGGGAGAGAGAAAGAGAGAGTTTCTTCTGCTCGAAGAAATCAAGTTTGCTCGGTTATAAATCCGCAATAATTGACTCTCGTTAAAGTTTCGATTCAACTTGTGAATATCTTTGTGTTTTCCCTTTTAGAAAGACCTTTCATGATTTTTCCACTTTCCTCATTCCCGTTGAAATTTCGCAAAAAATACGAGCCGTTCTCGCGGCGAAAGACGAGCTTCATGTCGGCCAAATAACGCTAACAACGTATGCTTTTAAGCATTCGTGAACGGGCATACTTCCGGGTACTCGAGGGTTAGAGTGAGAGGGAGAAGATAGACAGAGACAGACAGACAGAGCGAGAGAGAGAGAGAGAGAGAGAGAGAGAGAGAGAGAGAGAGAGAGAAAGAGAAGGGGAGAAAGATGGAGAGAAAGAGAAAGAGAATGAAGCGAATGCGCTTTTTTCGCGGGATTAAAAATGCTAAATGGTAATTAGTTCCGGAGATAAAAAAGCATTTACAGGACGCGGCTACGGTAGAAGCAGAGAACCGTACGCGTAGCCGTTACTTTAAATGAATGAACAACAGGAAATTGTAGCTAACCCCTTTAAGCTCCAACTTCCAGCGTAGTTGCTACATGAGCGAGTGCATCGCTTTTCTCTCTCTCTCTCTCTGTCTCTCTCCTATTTTTTCTCTTCTCTTCTCTTTTTTCTTCTTTCTTTCCTTTTTCTCTCTCTCTCTCTCTCTCTCTCTCTCTCTTCTTTTTTCTACTTAATGCAACAACGGCTTGGATACGCGGAGATTGGCGAAAATCGATTACGATGATTCCCTAGAAAAATCCAATAACCCGAGTAGTCTTATTTCGACTTTCGAAGAGGAGTAAGAAGAAGGAACGTGATAGAAAACACGAACGATAGATCAGAGGATTTATAATATTTCTATGATCTATGATATTAGATCGATGTTACGTTGACGTAGATTTTGAGTATCGATAAATCTATAGTACCATATGATATCGAATCGGAGTAGCAAGAGTGGCCATAGACTAATACTGAAATATGAGTATTTAAGCGTAGATTAAGGAAATAATAAGTTCGAGATAAGTTAATCCCGGTTAGATAAGGAAATAAAGAAAAGAGGAATGGAAGAGTAGAGTGGAGACTCCCGTCCATCGTACGAAGGGTGAAGAGAAAGGCGAGGGTGCGAGGGTAATATTGTATGCATGTTGTTCGTCGGCGTGTATAGGGGGACTCGGGGCTAAGGGGGTCGCGTTCGTATGCTACGTCGATAGAGAAAGGGATTCCCAGGGGACTTTTGGAATCGATTCGGGATGGAAATCATTACGGCAGATTTGAATGACTATCTTCGAATTTATCTGCACGCTTCTACGTTGCTCTTCTTCTTGCTCCTCTTTTCTCTCTCTCTCTCTCTCTCTCTCTCTCTCTCTCTCTATCTCAATCTCTCTCTTTCTCTCTGTCTCGTTTTATTTTACTCTTCTTCTTCTTCTTCTTCTTCTTCTTCTTCTTCTTCGCCATCTCGTATTCGTCGTTTCGCATTCGAGAACTCCGTCAAAACGACATTTACGATTTTATTGCAAGAGAATCGGTTTCTTTCTTTCATTCCTCGTAAGACGTCGTTTCGCTTAAAGTTACTATACAAGAAGTAAATCCAGTTTATATTTATCCAACAACATCTTGGTTAATCTTTCATTAACTCTTGTTTGTTTCGTATACGCGACATTTTGTATTGGCGATATGAACTTTCGAAATCGACGATAGGATTATAATTATCGATTATGAACTCGCTTCTATCGTTTGATATTTAAATTGACCTTTTGAGAATTCGTCTACCAAGAACACGTTGCGTTTGTAATGACTCGAGAACATTGACCTTTAGTTGTGGATTGTTTGTGTATACACACACACACACACACACATATATATATAAATATATATTTTTTATCGATTTTATTATAAAGATATCGAATGTGAGTTCCAAAGGGAGATAGAATCGAGTATAGTACAACGATAATTATACTTTATATTAGATGTGATCTTAGATGCACTTATTGCTATAATAATCATCATCAGTTTAGATACGTGAGAATTATTTTATTATGTTCTATAAGAATTTCAAACAGATACGTAAAATATAATAAAAGTGCTCGAGAATTTGTTCGAGCACGATCGCTATTAGTCCTCAGCAAGTAATTCCCACGGGAATTAAATGGAAAGAGGGAGGACCCAGTCAGCGATGGGACCGGGAGAGTCTCGACGGAAGAAAGGCCCCCGTGGGGCCAACGCTGACTGGTCGCACCCCCAGGACGTGTCCTCTGCGTCGTCGACAACGACGACGCAGAGGACGAGGACGACGACGTAGCCTACGACCTCTTCCTCTTTCGCTTACTTTACCCCTCGAGACACTCGCAAACATAACCGCTGTGCCGTGGTATTCTACACTAAAGAGAAAGAGAGAGAGAGAGAGAGAGAGAGAGAGAGAGAGAGAGAGAGAGAGAGATAGTAAGTTTTCTTTCCTTCCGGGACCAACAACTGAGAAACTCTCTTTTGGGACCCATTCGTCGACAGTTAGCGTTACTATTCCGATAAAAAAAAAAAAAAAAAAGAAAAGAAGTCGATAATTCTGAACGTCTCAGTATGTTGCTACATGAAAAAGATACAAGAGATAAACGATTTTTGAAGAGGTAAGGTAACGCGGTAAGTTAATTCGAATGGTTTCGTGACTTTGCGATGATCGATCTCTCGATAAATATCTATATCCTGTATATACCCGGAGGAGAGAATAAATACTTTTCCAGCGAGAGTAAAAGAGAGAAGAGAAAAAGAGAATGAGTATGCACGTGTGTGTGTGTGTGTGAGAGAGAGAGAGAGAGAGAGAGAGAGAGATAACTAGCAAGCGAGTAAAAGTAATTGCTCGAAATTGTTGGCAAGTACGCGCTAGGAAGGGCAGAGTATACTAAATAAAACAGTTATAGCGGCTCGGTAATAGGTGCTAAGCAAATAATATCGCATGTCACTTGCGTGAGGTTCGCGTGCGCTCGCGCGCGCGCGCCCGCTCACGCTCACGCTCCCACAAACTCACACGACCTAACATAACGAATAATAATGTTACGTGTTTAACCGACGATTATTTGACGCGTTGTTGCGTTACTGCTACGTACATGTGCGTACGAGATAAACAGAGAGAGAAAGAGAAAGAGAGAGTGTGAAAGAGAGAGAGAGAGAGAGAGAGAGAGAGAGAGAGAGGGCTATATAAAAAGACGGATGATCATCGTGCCATGCAATTTGCTTCAATTTCTTCGAGAAAATGGTGATAAAGGAGGGGAAAAAGAAGAAGAAGGCGAAGATGAAAGAAAAAAAAAATAGAAAGAAAAAAAGGAATAGAGAAAGGGAGGGAGGTTGGGTGGGGTGGGGGTTAGAAAAAAGAACGTTTTGTCGAGCCTCATGCAAACTCATGTAAGTGCGTCGATGTTAAGTCGAGATAAAATACCTAGATAAAATATCGCGGAAGCGTTTAAGGAAGAAAAAGAGAAAAGAACAAAAACAAAAAAACAAAAAAAGAGAGAGGAGAAAAATTAAGAATTAAAAATTAAAAAAAAAAAAAAGAGAAAAGAAAAAAAAAATACGGAATGACAAACAAAAATGATCTGAATCCATAATCTCGCGTAAAAGGAAAAGAAAGGCAACTAAGGAAAATAGAATAACCCCTATGAGAAACCTAGATGAATCGAACAGTCGAAACGTAGGACGTGGAAGCGCGGACTCTTATCTCCTAACAGGGGTTAATACGTATAAGGCGAACACTTATGTTAATTATTCGAAGTACAAATAAGTTCGCATGTCGCTCGGCTATTAAAACTCGTTACGAGCGACGGACACGTGAAACTCTCTCGCGTCTACTAACGATAGGATATTTTCATTCTTCCTTTTTTCCATCTTCGTATACCCCCCTTCTTAACTTTACCCTCTCTCCCTTCTCTTCACCCTATCTCTATCTCTCTATCTCTCTATCTCTCTTTCTCTTTCTCTTTCTCTTTCGTATTTACTCTTATTCCTCTATTTCCCGCACGAGCTTCCCTACTTTTGGTAAAGTGGTATCACCCTCTCCTCGATTTGGGTAACGGGTATATGCTATCAGGGGCACGAGTTTGCGTTGCAATTCGGTTATTTTGTTCGTATAAATATTTGATGCTGTTTTCAAAGTCGCACCTAGTTGCGCGGGAACCGAGGATAAGCATGTTTGACGTATTTATTAACTACTGTATCTCTCTCTTTCTCTCTCTCTCTCTCTCCCCCCCTCTCTCTCTCTCTCTATTTATCTCTATCTATTTATCAATTTTTCTATTTATCTTCTTTAATACTCTATCCTCTTTTACTTAATTGCAAAGTTCACAGATGCTCGATATATGTTCGATTGTTCCTTCAATTAGATGTCTTTCTCGAGAAAAAGAAGAAAAAAAATAAAGAAAAAAAAAATAAATAAATAAAAAGAAAAGAAGAAGAAGAAAATGGAAAGGGACGAGGGGAAAAAAAGGGGGCGGAAAATTCGAATCAGTTATTCAACGTTTTCAGATCTCTCTTTCTCTCTTTCTCTCTCTCAGTGAGATCAAAGGAGGAAAGCTATCCGTTCGCGCTTTATTATTCGTTGGTTAATCCGTACTAGGCACCCTCCTTCGTGAGTGCATGAATACAGGCAACAACGTGTTGTCATTAAATAAAAATCAATCAGGAGGTAGTGAAGGAGGCTTAACGGATTTGCTTGTTCCGCCCACAGCTTAGTCGTCCTACTCGGGATGCATTGGTTAGTCCCTTTTCGATCGTGTAAAATCGACGCGCTAGTGTCTTCTCAATGGGTCGTCGTTGGTCCTTGAGTTTTACGGAAAATCTCGTAACTCACTAACAAATGACATTTTCTTTTTTTTTTTGTTCCAGGCGATCATGTACGAAGGACAAGACAAGAATCCTGAGATGTGCCGTGTCTTACTGACGCACGAGGTAATGTGCAGGTGAGTGTCGTCATTGAAGATTTTTTTATTTTTTTCTTTTTTCTTTTTTTTTCTCTCTTTTTTTCTTTTTTTTCTTTTTTTTTTTACTTACAAACGAAAATAGAATATCTTTTTTCCCTTGACTGACTTGAGTCGAATCGATTATGCAAGAAGAGAGAGAGAGAGAGAGAGAGAGAGAGAGAGAGAGAGAGAGAGAAACATTCGGTCGACCTTCGAAGGAGCAACTTTTTTACGAGAGGGTGGCTATCTTGCCGAGAACCATCGTACACTCTCGCG